CTGAGATATCATATCAAGTTGATATCACAACTTAATATATGATATTTTTAATTGAGTTGAATACAACTTGAACTAGTAGCGGAATTAAATATTTTTTTACTTCAAATTTTCTGAAACAGAGTAAAAACTGTGTGTGATAGATATTATACTCACTGTTATTTACTGTTTTTGGTGATTTAAACGTAAAACAATTAAGTGACATTTATCAATCGGAATTATCCTTTTCTAACATAATTGTCTTTTCAATCAGTTCTCAATCAGTTCAAGATCTTCTGTGAGGCGTTCAATAATGTCAGAGTAAATATTTTTCCTGATCATATTTTGCTCGCATGTCAGGTTTTTTGGTTCCAGTTTCGAGCAAACCTTCGTCATATGCAAGTCTTCGGTCAAAAATTTTCTTCCTGTCTCTCTGTCAATGTTCGTAATATCTGATATCATTCATCGTACGTAATAGCGTCGGTCTTCACGAGAGGTTTCATCAATTTATTTTTTTAATGTTTTCATCAGTTCTTGAAGTTCCTGGATGATTAGAGCGTTCATCATCCTCAACTAACTCCCGATCTTCAGAAAATCGATTGGGTCATTCAAAAATTTGACGACGTGACATACAATTATCTCCAAACACCCCCTTTGAGCCTCGGTGGCTCAGGGGATAGAGCGTTCGCCTTTCAATGAGGATAACCGGGTTCGACTCCCAGTCGATACGAATTCCGCATCCGGCTTGCATCGACCACAGTGCTGATGTGAAATATCCTCAGTGGTTGTTAGAGTCCCCTTGCCGTCAGGCTAACCATGGGAGATTCTCGTGGTCTTCCTCTCCATGTAACGCAAATGCGGGTTAGCTCCATCAAAAAAAAAGTCCTCCACGAAGGCAAATTTCTCCCAATTTTTGATCCAAGAGTTCCCTTGTCTTCAGGATTGGGTTCAAAATTACAAGGCTACAGAGTTGAACATTAGTAGTCGTAAACCCATAAAATTGGGTCGGCTGTTCAACGACGGTTATAAAATGAAATAAAATAAAACACCCCCTTTAACAAATTAAAACATTCAGTGAGAGTTTTTTTTTCAATTTCACAAAGAATTTTAAATTAACTCGCTGCTTGATTTTTAAGTTTAATCATGATCGCGACTCAACAAGGATTAAAAACTAACTTAACTAGTTAGAGTGATGAAATAACGTGACACCTGCACCGAAAGCATCAAGGTTAACTACATTCTATATCCACTCCCCCTCACCAAGTCTAAGGCATGCGCAGTCCGGTTTTTTAATATACATATATATATACATGTATATATATATTTACATGTATATATATACATGTATATATATACATGTAAATATATATATACATGTATATATATATGTATNGACTATGCTATATATATATAACAAAATAAAGATAAGAGGGATAAAAAGAAAAAGGAAGAAAATTAAGAAAATTGTTTTCTTTATATTTTTTCTCTATATTCTCCTTGTTTTCTCTATATTTTTAGCTTAGTATATATAAAATCGGAGTGATAGGCATACTTATACTTCGAAGTACGGAGAAGGTCATTTTATTTTATTACCATCGTTAAACATCTTACTCAAATTTGAGTTTACGACAACCATTGTTCAACTCTGTAACCTTGTAGTTTTGAGCCCAATCCAGAAGACAAGGAAGCTCCTTGATCAAGTATTGGGAAAAGTTTTGCCTTCGTGGAGGACTTTTTGGTGAAACTAATCCGCATTTGCTTTACATGATGCGGAAAACTACGAAAACCTCCCGCAGTTAGCCTGATAACAAGGGGATACTAACCCATAATCCGTCTACCACTGAGGATAGTTTACATCAGCACTGTGGTCGGTACGAACCGGTGAGTAATTTGAACTCTGTCTCCTCATTGGGAGCTTTGTCTCCTCAAGGGATATAAGTGAAAAACTAAATGGGTTTTTCTGATTGGTTAAGCGTAAGCTATTGTTTTAAATGTAACTTTATCAAATATTTCAATGATAACATTAGCGATAATTCTTAGCTTGTAGCTTTATTTGATCGAAAAAAGGAGTTTATTGCACGTATTTCAATATTTAATTATTTTTTATTCGTTATGTCAAATAAATTCAATGAGCAACATTGACGTGATAGCATTTGAGGACTACATTACCAAATAAGTACTCCTAAAGTTATCTGAATTAACTTGTTTATTTTGTTTATAGTAATTATTTTAAAACGTATTCTTATAAAAGTAAATAATTTAAAATCAATGATATTTGAAATGAAGAAAATATAGATGTGTATTGAAGGTCAAAATTAATGGAAAAGTGGTACTAATTCGTTTAGGAGAAACTTAAAAATTTGTCACACTATTATTGACGCCAACGATGCTTCATTTTCTGTTAGTTATTTGTATTAAATAGGATAAAAAATAAGCTTCATTTTAAAAAGCAAAGTTAATGTAGTTAAAGAGATGTAGAGGATGCTTAATTCATTTTGGTAATACGTACTAGTGGTATTACTGTAATTGGTGCAGTTTTAATAAGAATTCTGTAACGGATTTTCTGCAATGTCAGAAAATATTTTTTCTAGTGGAAACAAAGATAGTATATTAATATTTTAATGAATTGAAATTAAAAAAAAATATTTTTCGCACTACTATTTGTAAATATTTCAAACAGAATATTAAAGTTAAGATAGAGAAATGATCATGTTAAGTCCTTATCAAGGTTTTACAAAAATTCTATTTGGTTTTGAATGCTGATTACTGAGAAATGCTGAATATAGTAAATCTTTATCCTGATAGGAAAAACTACATGTTTTGCTTAATTTAATAACGGAAAGGATAATAAATAAAAAACATAATTGAAATAATTTTAGCTTTTTCAATTGTGTCGGTATATGCCTAATATTTATCAGTACTGATTTATTGCTTATTTTCTATTTTTGATATAACCCACACGAAGAACTGGTATTTAGCTAGTAATCAATAAAAAATATAATTTAGTGGCATATTATACAAAAATATATTTATACTATGAAAGAAAATTCTTCAATGAATCAATCCTAAGTACAATCCGTTAAAAACAAACCTATTAATCAATATCTGAAAGTTCAATGTCACCTGTCAGGTAGTGAAGGTTACAAAGTTGCTTCCGTCCCTTTGTAAAAAAATTTATTATAACTTACGAAAAAGCTATTAAAGAACACAATATACATTAATTGAATACAATTACGTAATTATGATTGACGACCTAACAAATAAATACTAATCTTCAAAATGGGTATCTGCAAATTTTCCGTTAAGATCAAACTCTGAATTGTTTCATGAAGCTTTATTTATTTATTTAATATTTATTTATTTATTTAGTTCATTTTTTATTTCTCTAAATAACATGAAAAGATAACGGACCATTATCGTTTCTTATTGATACATTTGGATTCTTACTGATCAGAAAAATTGTATGATATCGTATCTCATAATTAACAGTAAAGATATACGAGATCTTTAGCTATCATCAGCTTAAAATTAATAAAAGTTACATTGGTATTTACCCAATCACAAAATCAAAACAATTTACTAATTCAATAGTGATGACTAAGAGGTAAATAAACACACAAAAACTTTACTTCGTTAATTCAAATTGGAAAAGCGCACAAGGCAGCTGAAACCAAATTTTAATATAAACTATAAATAAGACATAAAATCTTAATAATTAAATATAATTAAAAATAAAATATAAACTGAAATATAATTAAAGCTAAAATATAATTGAAACTAAAATATAATTGAAACTAAAATATAATTGAAACTAAAATAAAATATTTTAGTTTTAATTATATTTAATTATATTTTAGTTTATATTTTAGTTTTAATTATATTTAATTATTAAGAATGGTATTTACCCGTAAGTCATTCATTTATCTCTTATTTACGGAATAATTTTTTTCTATTTTGATCATAGGGGTATTTAATTAATTGGCTAAGAAGTAAAAGTGTTACTTGCTTATTTTGTTACTTAGTAATCACATAATATTACCTTGTTATTAATAACTCTATAAGAAGATATTTAGTAACAGTTTTACAATTATTAAATGGGAACTAAGCTATATTTTTATTACAAAAAATTTTTGATGGGATTTCCCAACACTAGAAGTCTCACCGATTGGCCAAACGTTCTATAGCCTAAAAGGCACGGGTTCGTATCCCACTCTAACCATAGACCTTTTCGGATTTGTGCTTTCAACTTGTCAATGAATAATAAGTTTTATTTGTCATAACCACACAAGCTAACATTGGTGTGTATAACAATAAATAAATAAATTTTGGGTAAAACGGCGCTTAGTCAGCGTTTGTAAGTAGAATAATGAATACAAATTAATCATTAAAACATTTTTATTGATATTAAGAACTAATTTTTCGCACTATTGCTAAATATTACTTGTGACGAAAAATATTTAACGAGTTTTTCCAGTAAGTAAAAAGAATATAAGAATTTCAAAAATAATTTAGTGGACCAAGAGACAATGAAGATTAAAGTGTATAATTTTTAGGTTTAAATATTTACAAATGATTATAATCAAAAAATAAGCCTTTGGAACGGATCCTGTATTAAAACAATATTTTTTTCTGATTATTGCTGTTGAATAAATTTTAAATGTGATGTAATAATTTAATTTAGTAAGTAAAAATTATTGTGAAAAAATCGTGGGGTTGCTGAACGAAGCGAGCAAGGGTCGGTGCCTCTGAGTATTTCACAAAAGATAGATTTATTGTTTTTGTATTCTATTCAAATAAAAAATATTTTATAACTAGATTATAAATTTATAAATTATGTATAGTTACAAAAATCTTGTAAACAGAAAAACAATAAAATATACCATATTTTTTTTGGTAATTAAAAAAAAATAATTCAAAAGTTGGAAATGACTGCAATGACGCTTTTAAATCGTTTAAATATTTTGCATCTGTATAAAAAAAGAATTGAATTAGCATCCCACAATGCATGTAAATTATAAAAATTGATTCATTAATATTTCAAGCAATTATTAGTTAGATATGTCCTTATCTTATTTCATTGTTCTTATAGATTTGGAATAACATTTTGTTAAACTGGGAAAATATTGTTTCTTTGTTAAACTAATAGATGAGACTTTTACCCTTTCTGTTAACGCCGATAACGATGCCTTCTTAGCTGAAAGTTAATCCTGGTTTTGCTTTCACTTTCCGTATACATACGGTTCGCTTTGGCGATAGAAATTTGGCGACATGTTATCCTCACAGCATGACCTGAAGCCACTCATTCCTCTTGCGCAGTCATTCGCTTGTTTGTGTTAGGGAAGCAGGGTGCAATTTATGTGAATAAACTCTTAATTGATTTAATTTTATAATGAGTATCATGATAATTATTAAGAATCGAAGAGTTTCTTTTAAATCGAGTGAAGAGTTGTGATACGAAAAGATTTGAATTATAGCCATCATATTTGAGGGAAAAAAATCGATTAAGTTTTTAGTGTGCTCATTAATCATTTATTGTTTACACACGTGTTTTCGAAGAAAGAACAAGGATGTAAATTGGCGGTGTAATTAATTTGAAAATTTTTTAATTAATATTTCGACATTTTGTTTGATATAAAAAAACTGTATTAGAATTTTAATTTATAAACTTTGTACAAAATTTAAAAAAAAAAAAAGCTGAAGATGACTTTTTTGATATTTTGTTCGCTGTCATAATCGTTTTATCATATCAGAATCATAAGTTTTCATCTGATATTGATTAAATCAGAACGCTAAGAAACTGTGATTAACATTCAACGTGAAAACAGTTTTTGCAACCTGGAAGAAGTGTTTTGAACAATTTTGTTTTTTAAATTTCATTGTTTTTCGAGAGACTTAAAACTGAATCTTGAAGAATAGGAATAGTATGACAAGGTAAGCAAATATTAAAATTTTAAGCAATTTTCAGAGCTTAAAAATTGTAATAAGCTTCCTTATCTAAATTTTTTTTACACTGCCAAGAGAAATATTTCTTTTCAAATAAATATTTTAAATATGGGATATTATACATTTTATTAATTTTGCATGATAATACAATTTTAATAAATAAATTAAGTATTTGTATTGCGGCATACAAGATAACAGGTTCCTGCCCAGAAGCCATCGATGAATTATAGAGTTAATAGGGAGTTGCAATAATAAAATTAGAGTTAGTGGCAAATTATTTTTAATATTTCATATATCTTATGTTTACTAGTAAATAAAATGTGTTGTCAGTAACATCGATCATAATAAATATCGTAATAATAAAATATATCATAATAAAATAAATATCGATCGTGAAAAACATTGTAACAAATTGTAAAATTTTGTTTGAAACATATTTTTGGTACGCGATTTACATATTTTTCTACTTATCTAAAAAGATTACAAATGAGATGAAATTTATTTAAATTTAATAAATTTTGCTGTGAAATGAGTGTTGTATTCAAAGCTTAAATTTTTTTTAATTATTTTAACATATCTTACGAATTAAAATTGTGTGTTTAAACATATCTAAAGGAACAAAAAAATATACTAGTTAGTGTAGGCATATTTTTCACAAACACGACGCGAAAGTTTTAATTCAATGTATACGTTTTAAAATTTTTTAATAAATCCAAATTTAGTTCTTTAAATAAAGAAAGCTATAAAAATGATGATTTATAAATATTTTAAAAAATTTCATTTATTTTTTATATTTATACGCTGAAAAATATATGGTAAAATCTGCCAGAATATGGTGAAATTTACCGTGTTTCTGGCTGTATGAAAACATTAAAAATCTCGGTGATTTTCGATAAAATTAACAATATAAAATATGGTTTTCTAATATGCGATAAAATAGGATAAATGTGGTAAAATTTGGCATCTTTATCATGATATCTTAGAGCATGTCAAAAAAACTATTATTTTGATTAAATTTAATTTTCAGTATTGTATTTTGTACTAAATGTGTGCGTACTAAATGTTCCAGGGTGTGCAAACATCGATATCCCATTTTCATTCAGCATTTAAGTAATTAGCTAAATACTTCTCCAGGGAATCACCTAGTACTATAAATTTGAACGGAACTATAAATACTATACGGAATACGGATACTTGTAACGGAACTATAAATTTGAAAACCATGATATGAAGGGAAAAGTTACCAAATGAATGGCTTAAACACTGTATATTTTGGTTTTATTAACTATATTTATGAGATTTTTTTTTACCAGAAAAGTCATTAGTAAAGTAATTCGACCAGTGTATAAATTGCCTTAGAGTGATAGTGATAGGTGTCATCATAGTGAAGCTTATAGTGGGATTAAGGTGTAGTTAATAGATGGAACTCCATCTTGAATTTCGAAGCTAGACAAAAGGCGAATTTCTGGCACAACTGTGCGTGATTAATTATTCACAAAGTTAATTTTGTCACCTATATAATAAATAGTTAATTCTGCTACTGACAATTATCAAAGGAGTTTGAATACCTACAATGAAAATCCATTTAATGTACTCAAATGAAAATTGTATAAGAAGATATCAAAATTATATCTACCATATGTTAACGAATTTTTCAAGCTTATTAGATGGGGTTTTTTTTTGCGTTGAAATTCAGTCATAAAAATCGACTTTCTTGGGAAAATAAAATTTAAATTTACCAGCTACAATTTATTTAACGAAAACTCAATCTAATTTTACCAACTAATAAAAAGTTAATTATGTCTATGCTGTTTGTTCAATAAAAAGACTATGTAGTTAAAGAAATTTGAATAGCAACAATGAAAAGCAATGTAATGAGCAATAATGAAATTAGAAACATGCATAGAAAACGTGAAATAAATTATATATACCTTCTGCTGTATGCCTTTAAATATTTCAGTATTTTTATTTAATCTCGTTAAGTGGTTTTTCCGTGTTATTATTCAATTCGAAAAACATTTTTCCTCTGAAACAAAATTGATTTGTTCTACGAAAACTATAAAATGGCGAAATATGTTTAAGGCAATTCAAAGAAGCGTTAGAATCAAATATATTTGGAAAACTTTAAAAATATTCTGCAAAAAAGAAAATTAATTAATTAATTAAATAATTAATAATTAATTAATTAATAAAACAAAAATTACCGCTGAAACAAAATTGATTTTACGAACTGCTATTATATAAAGTTGTTAGATTATTAAAAATCAAGAAAATCGTTATGTTACTAAAATAAATTACTTCCTTATTCCAACTCTTTCTTTTTTAAAGTTATACATCACTTCACATTTTTAACAATATGATAATTTTTTTTTTCCTTCAATGAAAAGTTTTTTTTTCATGTTGCGATTTTGAATTCTGTAAATTTACATACCTGAACTCAAAATTTATTTTAAAGATTAGATGACATTCCCCGATAAGATAATAGTGCCCGGAAAAATGTTCTTGTTTCCCTGTTTCTCAATTGATATTCCTTGTATCGTGAACACAATTGAATTGAAACAAAGTTTATTCTGCTTTAAAATAAATGAAGCTTAAAGTAATGCTTGAAAACGGTTTTGTCGCATATTGTCAATTCAGTTTTTTAAATTTACATCGCGCAAAGAATTTTGATTTAGAAAGGGGCCCTTTCAGGATGGAGACAATTATTAAAAGACACACCTGGGATTTGTGTCAGAAATTTTCTCAATGAATTATTAAGAATTTGCTTCATAGGAGAAAATAAAAATAAGAGAAAAAATACGTAAAAAAGTGGAAGTAAGCACCCAGGAAACTAGAGATGGAAACTAGTTCAACTAGAAATGGAAGATAAAATTCGATATTTTCTGGAACAAATAAAAGAAATAATTGATATTCCTTAATCTGTCTTCCTTATCTTTCGCCATTTTCAACTTGCTTTTCTCGAATTCGTCCCGAAATAATAAAATATAACGGGAAAATGGAAAACATTTTTTTCTATTTATCTCTGTTTTTCTATTTTAACTCTTGTCGTTAAAGTTTCCAAAATATTTAATATTATAAAGAACTATTATTTTCAGGCATTTGTATGACTTATTAATCATTAAAAATTCATTATCTAGCCATATTATGAAGAGTTTATTCACCGGAAATGTTTTCATTCACTGGTATAAGCTGTTTATTCAGTTGGTTATTTTTTACTTACTATGTGAGCCACCAAAACAATATTATATATATTCTCCCTTATTTCTTAAAATAAATTGTGTTTTACATCATATACGTTGGCATCTTCATTTATCTAAAATTATATATATCAAAAATATTATACATTTTTTTTAACGACATGCTGTGTTTAATCTGTAATTCACTGATCAGTTCACTCTGTAACGAATTCTATAACAGGCAGAGCTAAAAAAGAGATTAGGAAACTCCTTGTTCATTGCCGCTCACATTCTTCACAATAAACAAATTTTCAAGTCTCTGGCCAAACTCTGTCCAATGAAGAACATCCCAAATATATGGGTCACACTTTTTATCTGAAGATTCTAAGCAACATATTGATTTTCTGGTAAATAAACACAAGAAGCTGGATTTGTTGAAATATATTTCAGGAAGAAACTGGTGTGGTACTCCAATACTTGTAGACTAACCTATACCTCTCTGATTAGACCAGTCTGAGAGTATGATTCCTGAATTTATTTCTGTGTGTGTGACACTAATTTAGCAAAATAAGAATGAGCTCAATCAAATTTTTCTCGTCTAATCCCTATCGTGAAACTTAATTGCTCCTTAGATCTGGTGTTATTTGAATGGGATGTCCATCCTTTGAATCTAAGCAAGAACATGATACTTACTAAACACTATAGCAAGCTGAACAGTTACGGATATTATAATCGCCCATCCCAGTAATTTGACTAATGGAAAGAAACTAAAAATAGCCAGTCCTTTCTTTCGAATTCACTTGATGGATCTTTTGACTTAGGAAGTTGAGAAACTTTCTTTGAGATCAATCTTTAACTCCTTTGAGGGCTTTCCTGGAGTACACTGAATTCAAAAACAGCACTAGCAACAGTAAAGATGTCCCTGTTGTCAGCTGGTTTTTGAGCAGATCCTTAACAAAATCTCAGATACTGCTATTCAAATATAGTCATCAAACATAACTCTGGTAGTGGTGTTTTCGTTAAGGCCCCTGATTTTGATTATAAAATTGATTAGCCTGATTTTGATTTGCTTTGCAAAATACTAAAATTTGTTGATTGTAGAATCAACAAATGCATATTAATTATCTCGGTAATCAAAACAGAAGAGAATAAAAAGGTCATTCACCTCCAATATATAGGACAGCATTTTGTAAATTTTATCACATTAATATTAGAAGATTTTTAAAATTAGTTTTTGTATTTGTGTGCTTTTACAAAGTAATTGACTATAATAAATATAATTAATTTAATTCTCCTTGGTCGAAATTTTTGATTACAATAAAAAATTATAAGAATGCGAAAAATTCAACACAAGTTATCTTTAGGACAGTTCGAAGGCATATAAATATTTCGTTATTTAAGTGTAGTAGATATTGTTTCATAACCAATACGTAAAGAAATACTTGAATAAATATCTTACAATGTGTAAAAAGTACAAGAAATAACAAAAAAATTCATTTTTCATATAATTATTTAAATTTAACAAATTTTTTTTCTTCGCATTTATGAGTTCAAGTTCAAATAAAAAACTACGAAATTCTTATTTCAAATAAAAAATTGTGTTTCCTGCCATAAAACTTGAGTCTCACGTGGTTATACAAAAGTTAAATAAATAATTCTCATGCACATATCGTTATTCTGATTAGTTTCATGTTGAAGGCAGTCAAAGATATGCAGATCTCTTTATTAATTAGAAATCAAATCATGTGATTTTTCAATCCCTTAATAATGCACCAACAAGAGTATTATTTCATTTCGAAATTTGCTTTAACT